TCTATCTATCTATCTATCTATCTATCTATCTATCTATCTATCTATCTTTTTGGACCTTGGGTCTCATGTCTCAAGGTGACCTGAAACTTGCTATGTGCCAAGGATGATTTTGAACTCAAAATTTAAAAGTCAGCCTATGTGCATGTGTGTGTGTGTGGGGGGGGGTATGGGTCAGAGGACAACTTTTGGAGTTGGTCCTCTCCTACCCTTGTGTGGGTTCTGGAGATAAAACTCAGGTTGCCAGGGTCATGTGGAAAGCAAGCCCACTGAGCCATTTTCCTGGACCTGTTTACTGTTCTTGTGCCTTGGTTTTCCCTTCTGTGAAGTGGGAGAGGTTACAGATAGACCCCTTCTCAGAGGTATTCCCCAAGACTGTCTGATTAGTGCAGTATTGAACTTAACAACACTGTCTAGGAGAGTACTCTCTGTCCTTTCCCTCACAAGGTTCATGGCTAGGACCCCTGCTACATAGGACAGACTGACAAGTCCTAAGAGGCATATGCTTTTCTTTCTTTCTTTCTTTCTCTTTCTTTCTTTCTTTCTTTCTTTCTTTCTTTCCTTCCTTCCTTCCTTCCTTCCTTCTTTCTTTTTTGTTTGTGTTTTAAGACAGGGTTTCTCTGTGTAGCCTTGGCTGTGCTGGAACTCTGCAGACAAGGCTGGCCTGGAATTCAGAGATCCACCTGCCTCAAGAGCTCCATCTCCCAAGTGCTGGGATTAAAGACACAGGCCCCCCCCCCCGCATATTCCCTGTACACAATGATGACCACATCATGCCATTTCAGCACATTTATAATGTGTTTCCATCACATTTAACTCCTCTTGCCTTCTCCTCCCCCCCACTGACCCCCTTCCTTTTTCCAAAGAGCATCTAGCTGAGCATGGTGGCTCACACCTGTGATCCCAGGATTTTGGAGACTGAGGCAGGGGAATTGCTATGAATGTCAAACCATCCTGGGATAAGGAATGAAATATGTCTCAAGACAACAAAGCACGAGCCACAAAGAGTTCCTTGTATGCCTACATCTACCTTCCTTCCTTCCTTCTCTCCTTCCCTCCTTCCCTCCTTCCTCTGCCCCTACCAGGGGTTGGCCCTGGACCTCATGCATGGTGGATGGCACACTATCACTGAGCCATCTCCTAGCAGTACACGCCATACTTTCTTAAATCTGCATTCTGTATAGGAGAGAAAACTGATGACACTCATCTTTCTGAATCTGGTTTACTTAACATGGCCTCCTCCAGCTCTGACCATTTCCCTGCAAAGGACATAGCTCCATCCTTTATGGCTTGCACATCCACACCACATTACCGTCATCTGTTGATGTGCACCTCAGCCGATTGCACCAACTGCACAATCTGGCTGGCATGAAGAGGTCGCAGGCACCTCTGTTGTAAAGCACATGTGTTTAGTACCGGTGTAAGTTTTATGATACCCGACGCCTCCTGGAAATAAAAGCCCAGATGGGGGAGGGGTGCACAAGGACCCACCCCAAGCTGATTGGTTCTTGGTAATTAATGTCTGTTGCGGAGGAGTCATCTTTGTGCAGGGTGTAACCAATAGAAAGTTGTCTGAGAGCCACTCACACCCACACCCACACCCACGCATAAGTCTGCAGGCACGCTTAAATCCAGGGTGTCATTTTAAAAAAGGGAAGTTGGAGAGACACTTGTTAGGGAAAAGGGCCAGATGGGGTACAAGAGAGGAACAGGGCAGGAGAGATGGCTCAGTGGTTAGGAACACTTACTGATCCTCCAGAGGACCCTCGCCATCGGGCTCACAACTGCCTGTAAGCCCAGCTTCTGGCTTCCAAGGACATCTACGCGCAGGGTACACAGCTATATACAGACACATACGATGTCCACATTAGAATAATAAGAACAAAATTTAAGATTAAACGTGCACTACATACATGTACAAAAAAATAAATAAAAGTATTTTAAAAGAAGGAAAATGAAGACACAGGTCTGGGAAGGAAGCTAAGTTGGTAGAATGGTTGTCTGGCACGAAGTCCTGGTGTGTGTGTGTGTGTGTGTGATATTTTTTAATAGTAAATCAGTTTATCTGTTTTTGTGGGTGTGAATATGTACCTGCCATGACACGTGTGCAAAGGCCCCGGGACAACTTGGGGCAGTCAGTTTTCATCTCACTAGCACTGAAGGGTGGAGGCAGGAGGATTGCGGGTCTAAGGTCGAGGCGAGGCTAGGCCATTCGGGATCTTGTTTCGAAAGAATTTCTTCTTTCGAAGAAGTAGGAAGTCTGTGTGTTTGTGCGATGGTTTGAAGTTGAGCCCAGGCGTGACTGTAAATGCTATCACAGTGACGGCTGCTGTGGCAAAGGTGGGCGTGGTCAAATGGCGATGAGTGGGGCGGGGCCTAGCCTGAGAGCAGTCTGTTCCGGTTCCCCCTTGCCCTGGTGTCAGGGGGTGAGCATAGCAAGAGGGGCTCTGGTCGGCTTCCTGGGAGAAAGGTCGAGCAAAAGACAGGGGCCTTCCTGTTTCTGTTGCTTCCCAAATGTAGGGTGCCTGTTTAGAATGGGCTTGTCCTGAACCCCGTCAGCGTGGTAGCTGAATGCACTTGGATGTGGGTGTCTGGGCTTGCTGGCCTTTTCCATCTGCTGGCTGCTGGCCTGCGCAGGCTAGAGGTCCTGCCTGTGGCACCATGGCACCCGACTGCTGGTCTGCAGCTAGCCTGGGAATTTTCTATAAAGGTAAAAACCCTTGAGCAAGCACCTTGATCAGGCGCCCACATACCTCTGTTGGGGAATGCAGATATCAACAAGAAACTCTTGGCTCCAGCCAATGCCACGGGTGAAGTCCAGCAGGGAAGCAGCATCCAGAACTGCCCAGTGACTAGTATGCCTGCCAGGAGGTTCCGGAACCTGAGCCTCTCACACTGGGCACTGGCCAGGGCACTGCACCAGGGCAACCTTCAAGATCCACAGGCCTGCGGCCCAGGGGACTGGTTCTGACTCTACAGCAGCAACCCGTGGCCTTGGCAGAAGTTATGTATCTAGTGCAGAGACAAAGGGCGACCAGCAAGGGCATGGCAGGAAACAAAGTCCAGGGGTTACAACAACAGCCGAGGTAACTGGGGTGCGATGACACCCATTTTCCTCTGGCCACAGCTTTTCCCTTAGGCACTTCTCATTTCTCACTTAGGCACGGCCAGAAGAGGTCACCGGACCAGTGCGTCCTGGATCCCTGTCTTATAACTTAAAGACAACAGACCTAACGAAGAGGAAGGGCTCTGCCTAAGGTAACACAGCTGGTACAACCTGGGTCCCCAAGTCTCTGTCTTTCCTTCCTTAATTAACCCCCAGTCCTGTCTGGGGCGTTGCCATTTCCAGGTGCCCCAGGGATGTGCCTGGGCCTCATCATTTCTTAAAGAGTCTAAAGAAGTCATTAACTGTGGCCCTCATCTAGAGTCTCAAGAGGGACTTAGGCTTGGCGGTGGGGTGGTGGTATTTATAAGCCTCCAAACCAACCATGCCACCTGCCGGGCCCGACTTCAGAGGCCCTAGGATCTCCCTCAGTCAGTTTAACCTCCTCAGCAGCGCTGTGCACCTTCTGTATGTGGGGTTGCCATGGTGAGTTTTCATGCTAGCTGTATATCAGAGTTCCTGTATGCTCTGTGAAATACCTCATGCTCAGGTCTCACCCCAGGCCAGGGCCAGCAGAGTCTGTGTAAGGGAGGGAGGAGGTGGCCAGGCACAGGTGGGCACAGGTGTTTGCTAACAGTCGATTATAACTCACAGACAAGGGCTGGTTAGAAGTCAGAGGGAAAGAACCCTCGGCTGCAGCCCCAGTCACAGTGCCTGCTTCCTTTCCTCAGGGCAGCCCGCTGCAGCAGGTCTATTGTGAGCCACGAGAGATTGGGGAAAGTCCCGGATACCTCATGCGTGACAGCACCTAATTAATCATCAACTTCTTAATGTGATCTCCAGCCTATAAAAGGGGAACCTTCCGAGTCTTATAACCCTGACCACTGGCCTGTCACAGACATCTCCAGACCCAGGAGCTTGTGCCCCAGGAGGAGCCCAGGCCAATGGGTTCCCATCTCAGCCCTGAGGCCAGTAAGTAAACTTCCTGTATGCCTTGTGCTGGGTTCTGGAGTCCGCACTTCAAGGAGTACAGGTGGGAGGTCTGGACGGGGACAATGGAGACCTTGAGGTTATAGGCTCCCGGAGTGGGTGTCTGTCAAGGTCTGGGCCTCGAGAGGGAGTGAGCTTCCGGTCTTCCCAGGAACCCAGCAGAGCTTGGGTGACTCAGGTCCAAGATGGCTGCCGAGAGAAACAGTCTTCCTTCATCTAAGAACTGGACACAGAGAGGATCAGGGCTGGGGTGGGCAAAGGGTAGAGCTTAGGAGGCCTGGTTGGAAAACAAGGGATTTCAGCTTTGCCAAATTAGCGGTGGCATCATGGGTAAGTCATGTTGTCCCGGCCCTCGGTTTTTCTCATCTGAAGGCTGGGGACAGTGCCACCATGCTAGTGGCCTTTAGGGCTCCAAACACAGACATCTAAATCGTAATGAGATAGGAAGTCTCTCTGAGACACTTATCTCTACCTGTGGTCACTTGTTCCCTAGGAGAAGGACCTGGGTGTGGGCAGGAGATAGCATTCCAGGTCTCAGCAGAGACTGGGACCAGGCACCCTGGACCTGCCTCCCCAGCACACCAGAGCTCCTGCTTAGGGCTCCATGGCAAGCGCCCAGGTCTCACACACAGTGGGCGGCCACGCCCAGAGCCACCCCTGCTGTGGCAGCTGTGTTTGGATTCAGGGCAGAGCAGTCAGTAATGATGCCAAAAGGAATGAAGTGTAACAGGTGTGTGTATGTGTGTGGCTGAGCCCGAACTCTCCTTGGAGCTGGAGGGGCAGAAAGGGACCTTTCCTGAGCCTCCCCAAACCCTGGGTGCTTCTATACAGGGTGCAGAGAGGAGCACAGGAGGCTGCGAAGGGCTGAATGGGTGCCTGGCACCCCAAAGGCCTTGGTGCTGCAGAGACTACAGTTTTACTTTATCTGCCCTATGGGCTGGAGGTGACCCTACAGACACGGCTGTGTTCCCAAACTCCCCTTGCCAACAGCCAACAGGAGAACACAAACGGGGAGGTCGTGGGAGAGGGTCCTCCTGTTCCATGGAGCCTCAGGAGCTGGCCTGAAAGTGGGGCCCAGGGCAAGGATGGCTTACAGAGAACGCTCTGAACCCTGTGCCAATGCTGCCAGAGGGGACGGACCCGGTTAGAGAGCCTCGGTTAGCTTGTGCCCACCTCTGCCACTCCCCAACCCAGCCGTGGCTCTGTCAGTTTGCTCAGCCAAAGAGCGGGTGGGGAGCAAGGCAGAGTGGAGGCGGTGTCTGCCCCCTCAGTGCCACTGTGACCCAGCTCTGAAGCCAGGATGAAGTGCTCAGTGTAAAGGAAAGGTGGGGCTCCTGTGGGGGACAAAGTCCCGAAGCCTTTGATAGACTGGCAGGGTGAGGGTGGCCTTCAGCCCTGCTCAGCCTGGGTCATGTGCAGAGAACAGCCAACACAAGCCCTATGAGAGAGTGAGGGTAGAGAGGGTGAGTCAACAGGCCCCTTGTTGCTTGCCCGGAGTGATCCCGCCCGGGAGCCACGCTCAGGGGTGTTGCCCAGAGGCCTGAGCAAGCAGTCGAGATGAGGAGGTTCAAATGCTCTTGTCTCCTAGGGACCCATGGTGTAGCAGTGTGTCCCCTCTGCTTCCTTCCTGTAACACAGGACCTGAGAACGTAGCTCCCGGAGGTCACTGGGAAGGCTCCTAAATGGGGCTGGGGCTTTGCCCACTCAAGCTGCCAACCAGGCCAAGGCTTTCTTTTCCTGGGACTCTTGTACCCTCAGAGGGCTGAACCCTCAGGGGCAGTCTCCCTCCTCCTGAGCCAACATCACTTCAGACAGACTCCTGCTTCTTCAGGAAGTGGACGGGGCAGACCGTCTCTCTGCCTCCCAGAGCAACCCTTCCAGTCCTCTGTCCTCCTGGAGAGGGAATGTGGCCAGGTGAATACCCTGCCCACAGCCAGGGGATGGACTGGCCACCATTTTAAAATGAGCAGTCCAAAGTTCCCAGTCCCAAAGGGGGTCCGAACCCTTTTCCTAGAGGCTGCAGGGGATGAGGTTGACGCTCTTCCTCGATCCTGTCAGAGCTTCCATCGTGGTCCAGAGCTTGTGGTCCTCAAGCGAGCACATCCTGCTTTCCTGGGCAGCAGGTTGCAGACGGTTATCTGTAGCACCCACCCTTGCTCAGGATTGTTGCTCAAGTCCCTTGCCACGCCTACCGGGGAGTCCTCCCCATCAGTGCCGGCTATGCCCCAGCTGACTGATGTGGTGGGCTTGGGCCAGTAGCACTGACAGCCCCCAGGGCTGAGTCTGGCTCTGCTTGCAGGCCTGCAGTCTGCAAGTGGAACAGGGGACAGGCAGCCGGTGGGGAGGGGATGGGGTCTCGAGTGCAGACTGAGTTCACCTTTCTTTGTCAGCCAGCTTCCTCTCCTCAGCCTCCCAACCCCCACACAATTAAAGAGGAAAGGCAGGTCTCTGCGATCTGACCATCCGGGCCAGGAAACTCCAGCTCTCTCGGAACCAGGACTAAAAAGGGCTGCCCGGCAGCAGACTTTCCCTCCTGGCTGCCAAGTGCCTTTCTGCAGGAAGTCCCTTGGTTCCAAAGTCCACTTCGGGCCTTGGCTGAACGAGGCATCTCCTGTTCTCAGCTTGCCCCCTCTCTGTCCTGCCCCCTTCTCTGCCAGGATGGGGAAGCCACCTTCAGTGAGGCTGGTGCGGTGGCCTCCGAGTGGGCTTCACGCTCCTGGATCCCGCAGGAGGCCCAGGGTGCTGGGCGTTTCCTGGGGAGCCTGTGGGTTAGAATGGGTCCTCATTGATGGGCTCCCCACTCTGCCCCACAGACGCAGAGGTGCCCCGCGAGGCCCTTAGCTTCCACGGGGACGCCACGGGCGCGCAGGTGCATCTGGATGACCTGAGGAGCACAGCGTGCAGGCGCTCCACGTTCCACGACGGCATCGTGTTCAGCCAGCGGCCCGTGTGGCCCGGTGAGCGCGTGGCGCTGCGTGTGCTGCGACACGAGGACGGCTGGTGTGGTGGCCTCCGAGTGGGCTTCACGCGCCTGGACCCCGCACAAGTGGCCGCTTCCTGCCTGCCGCCCTTCGTGTGCCCTGACCTGGAGGAGCAGAGCCCCACGTGGGCAGCGCTGCTCCCGGAGGGCTTCGTTCGTGCGGGGAATGTCGTCTGCTTCTGGGTGAACCGCAGAGGCTGGCTCTTCGCCAAGGTCAATGCTGGCCGCCCCCTCTTGCTGCGCAAAGACGTGCTGGTCCAGGGCGCCCCGCTCTGGGCAGTGATGGATGTGTATGGGACCACGAAAGCCATTGAGCTACTGGGTGAGCCAATCCGTGGGGTCCTAAGCACTGTGGTTCTGGAGTGTGTGGCGCGGAGGCAGAGTTCCAGGTGGCTTCACACGCATGCCTGGAGGCCCTGGTAGACCGTTCTTTTCTTAAGGCTCAGTATGCTATCAGCCCATGGCCAGGTCCTAGTGTGAGGGTGGGCACTGGAGACACGAAATGGGCACAAGCCTTGTCCCTAAAGGCTAAGATGTGACCAGTGTGTAAACGATGTTAGAAGGCTGGTTGCTTTTCACAAACAAGGAAGCGTTTGGATGGGGCCTTGGAACTTAAGCAGTTCACCCACACTAAGGTGAAAGGCAAACAACAAACAAACAAACACAAACCCGGACAAACATGTGAGCCCTGTCAGCTGGGTTCTTAACATGCTAGGGAAACCAGCAGTGAAGAGGAGAACTTGATTCTCAGGGTAGCGCGCATGCGCGTGCGCGCCTGTGGATTCCTGTAGCTATGCTGGCCCTGAATCTCCCTTTCTGCCTTAGATCCCAAAGCGGATGCCTGGACCGCCAGTGGGGAGGCTGTGCCGCAGCCTGAAGGTGAGTGCACGGTCGGGAGAGGAGGGGCTGGGAAGTCTGGGGGCTGTCCGTGAGCGGAGGGGCTGGGGAGGTCCGCTGTTGAAAGTAGCCTTTCCAGGTCCTGCCTCCAGACCTCCCAGTTTACTGCCCGACAGGGAGCCAGAAACAATGCAGTGTTTCTGCCTCCTGGAACACAGGCCAGTCCCCCAATTAGGAGAGTATTTTCATGAGCCCATCCCTCTCTCAGAAACAGTCAAACTTATTCTAAACACTTCCAAAGGCTGAGGTTATAGCCTAGTCTAATCCCCCTTTTTCTTTAAAAATATTAATGAGTATATCTATATAAAATTTATACACACACACACACACACACACACACACATGTGCCTGGTGCATATAAGAGAGAGTTGCATCCTCTGGAGCTGGCATTGCCAACAGTTGTAAACTTGCCACATAGATGCTGGGAATCAAACTTGGTTCCTCTGGAAAGAACAACACAGGCTTGCAACTGCTGAGCCATCTCTCCTTAGTCCTTGCCCCCCTTTGTTTTTCTTTTTTTTAAAAAAGCATAGTGGCTAGCTAGAGTGCTAGCTCAGTTGGCAGATGGTCTGAGTCGAATCCTCAGAACATGTGTGAATGGACAGGCACTTGCTGGGAGCATGGACACAGAAGAATCCCTGGGCCTTGCTGTCCAGCCAGTCTAGCCAATCCGTGAGCTCTGGGTTCTGTGAGAGAACCTGTATCAAAACCCAAGGTGGAGCGTGATGGAGAAAGCCGCTGACATCTGCCAGACAACATGTACACACAAACAATACACACACAGAGACAGACAGACACACACACACACACACACAGACAAGTGTGTATACATACACATAACACATACATACAAACACATATATACACAACACATACATACAAACAAACATGTACACATACATGCACATACAGAGAAATTATACAAATACGCACAACACACACACACACACACACAAAAGGCTAGGGATACAGTTCAGTTGGTAGAAGTGCTTTCTTATGCAAAAGGCTCTGGGTTTGATTTCCAGCACCGAATAAAACCAGCAGTGATAAAAGTGGGGACAAGGGGCTGGGTACAAGAGGCACACGCCTGTAATCCCAGCAGGTGTGGGGAGGCAGAGGCAGCTGAATCTCAGGGAGTTTGAGGTCAGCCTGGTCTACAAAGTGAGTCCACGACAGCCAAGGTTACACAGAGGAACCCTGTCTCAGGAAAAAAGAAAGGAAAGGAAAAGTGGGGGAAAGGGGATCAGAAGTTCAAGGTTATTTTCAGTTACATACAGTGGGTTTGAGGCCAGCCTTGGCTAAATGAGACCTTTGTCTCAAAAAAAAAAACCCACAAAAAAACAAACAAACAAACAAACAAAACCATACAAAAAAACTAGAATGTGCATATGGCCTAGGTGTAGAGGTTTGTCTCATGTGTGTGGAGTCTTAGCTCCAGATTCAGTCCCCAGTAGACTAAGGAAAAAAAAAAAAAAAAAAAAAAAGGCAAAACCAAACCAACCCCAAACCCACCCCTATACTAATGTTAAAGCTTCATGGGTAGAGGTGGCACAGGCAGATTTCTATGAGTTCCAGGACAACCTTGTCTACAGAGCTAGTTCTAGGACACCCAGGACTACATAGAGAAACCCTGTCTCGAAAGACAAAAAACAAGCAAACAAAACCCAAAAACTTCACCAAATAAATAGGATATAAGCAAAAAACAAAACAGAAAGCCTCCCCTCAAACAAAACAAAACAAAACTTGCTGTACTCACCTAATATCTGTAGGTCGATTTCATCCCAGTACCTTTAAACCTTGCTGTATAAGTTTATAAAGAGGGACCATGTAGGCTTTATTTTCCTTGTATCCAAGCTCAAGTTTTGTTGCTTCCCTGTACCCCTGGAGGATGTGTTCCAAGAGGCTCCTTATGGCCAGAACCCAGTGTGAGCCACTGTTTCTTCCTGTTCCCATCTATGCTGAACTTGGATTTATAAATTAATCATGGGGACAGATCAACAATAATAACTTACAACACAACAGAGCAACTGTAACAATGTACAGTAATAACAGTTATACAGTACTCAGGATTTTTTCTGGATCTTTCTATTTGATGGTTTCAGACCACACTAGCTGAAACTGGGAGGAAGCAGCCTAGGTAAGGGGCTGTGTGTATGTTGTAGGTTTTCATGCAATTACACTGAGTAGATTCTCCCAGGACACAGTTCCTTGGGACACAGAGCTTTCCGGTCCTGTGGTAAGAGCCTGCTCTCCATGTGTGCCCTGACCCATGCCATCTCCTTTTCCAGTCACAGCAGGAGAGGAGTGTGTCATCTGCTTTCACAACACCGCCAACACCCACCTCATCCCCTGCGGTCACTCTCAGTTCTGTGGCTCCTGTGCCTGGCACATCTTCAAAGACACGGCCAGGTGCCCCATGTGTCGCTGGCAGATTGAGGAAGTGGTTGTAGCGCCTTCACTGAAGACTGGGGAAGGCTCCTGAGGAGACAGGGCTTCCCGGAGTGGGTGGCAGATGGGACCTGGCTCTGAGACAGGTCCCTGCAAAAAGGAGACACCTCTGTGTGGACAATGGGTCAGCAAGGCCAGTCTTGGGCCACCGTGCCTGATCTTGGGTCAGCAAGCCTTGACAGCTTCGAGGGAGGCTCTGAGACCCTCTCCCCAGCCAGAAGTTCAGTAGAGGCTGACATGGCAAAGAGAGATCTCTCTGGCCATTTTGGGAAGTCCCCCAGCATAGCAGGGGCAGCCTGAGCCCTCCTGCTCCAGCAGAGGACGTGAAGGGACCTGTCTATGGCAGGCGTAGGTACCACAAGTGCGGACATAGATCGGGGTGATTTGTGAGATAGCAAAATAAAGTTTGTTTTGTAAGGATGTCTCCTTTGCTGTACTCCGTGGGAGGAGGGGGCACCCTGACCTGGTTGAGTGCTCCCAGCCCCCCCCCCCCCACTCCTGACCAAACTGGTTTTACGGTAAGGACTGGATGGGGCTCTGGGCACGCAGGTCCCTGGGCTCTGTTCATGAACATGGCAGGGCCTGAGTCAACACTCTCAGCTTCTGTGTCTCAACCAGACCTTGCCTTCCAGCTGGGTTCTGGGGACTCTTTCTTGAATCAAGTGGAGGCATCTTGTTCGAAGCCATCCTTACTTTGACAATTCAGGGTGAAACAACCAGCTGCTTTAAAAGCAAGAATAATAAAAAGGACAAACATAATGTCTTATGTTTGTCCCTCAAGGGCTTCAGGGTAGAGCATGGGAGTGGCCTCTGTCACTGTTCCAGGGTCTTGTTTCTACTCTTAGTTGTCTGGAGTGGTGATTCCAAACTACACCATGAGCCTTCTTATTTAGCTTTCTAAATTTTCCAGACCTTTCCACGTAAGCCCTTTCTCTTCCGCCTAACCGCAGCCTCTCTTCTCTCAGCTGCCTATGGAGGGACTTGGAGTTTATGCCATGGGTCCTTTTAGAGAGCCGGCTCCAATTCAGTTTTTTCCACTCAACCATCAAGCCACCAGGCACAAGTTTTGCTCCCTTCTGTTCCCAGTTATAAACTGCTGTGAGTGAGCTAAGAGAATGTATCTGTGTCACAGCACACTGTGTAGGAAACGCCTCACGAACCAAAAGCTTTGGTGCAGAAGTGCCCAAACCAGGTGAGTGACACCCTGGGCCAGCATGGATCTCATCTCTCGTTCCTGATGTAGGTGGTGACTGTGTTTCATCCCATTGGTGGGAGCTCAAATTCACAATCCAACCTGAGTCCTTGCCAGGACCTGAGTCCTTGCCAGGAGACAGACTTGACCTTTGCAAAGAGTTTCTCACGGCAGGACATTGATGATGCACCAAAGACCCCACCCACGTGGGTTACAGACAGTTGTGAGCTGCCGTGTGAGTGCTAGGAATTGAACCCCAGTCCATTTGGAAGAGCATTTCAGCGCTCTTAACCACTGAGCCATCTCTCCAGCCCCGCCCGAAGAACTCTTTACACGCAGTTTTATGAACTGGTGGCCAGAGGAGGTTGGAGATATGAACCTCCCCCCAAACAGTGAGTCGTGGAAGGGTCTGGCCAGGGGCAGGAGCAGGACCAGAGAAGCGAGGTGAAGCCGCCAGCCTGACGATTGCAGCTCGGCGACAGGCCTCTGTGTCCTGACGCCGAGTGTGGCTTCCTTTGTCCAGCACCCACTGTGATGATTGGTTTCGACCACCGACTTGCTGAACCCGGAACCTCCTGGAAAGGGAAGCTCAGTGAGGGAGTCTCTATAGTAGGCTGGCCTGTGGGCATGTCTGTGAGGAATTTTCCTGATTGGGTTTATTGAGTTGGTGTAAAAGGGACTTTGATTCGCCTGTTTCAGTGGTTGTCTGGGAGGCTTACTGCCTCCATTTGCTAAGCTAGGCCTGGTCCTGGAAGCTTCTAGCCTCTGTACAATCTAACCTGGGCCTAGAATGTTTTCAGCCTCTGAGACTTACTGCTTAATAAGTTCACCCTTTCTTGTTGATACTGAGCTCAGGGCTGGCTGGTTCAACTCAGCTGTTCTGGCTCAAACTCCTCTCCCAGCTGACATATTCAATCTGGCTTTCCCTTGGCCTCTGAATGCTCTGCTTGGCCTCAACCTAAATCCAGCAATCTAGTCTAATCCTCTGGCTCATTCTCACTTTCTGGCTGCTTCTCTCTTCACCTGTGTCTAGCTTGTTGTCTCTTGCAAAACTTTCTCTGTAAAACTCTCATGGTAAAATATCCTCTTCCCTCTCTCATTAACTGTATTGCTCCCTTAAGTAGCTTCTCTTTACTCTCTGTTCTCATGAGAGTTAATCCTATTCTGTCAAGTCTTTCTCTGATTCATCACTTTTTCTGCCACTTTCAAACATGGTTGCTTCCGTCCATAAACTAACTTTAGACATCTCTTTCAGACATGGCTGCTTCCTTCCACAAACTAACTTTACCTTTATTGTTTGGGACTAAAGGCCCGAGTCATCACACCTGGTTCTAAGCTTTTCTTTACCTGAAACTTGCTCTCTATCAGGCTGGCCTTGAACTCAGATCTGCTTGCCTCTGTCTCCTGGATTAAAGGCATGTTTGTATTCCAGGAAGATCACAGAGACCCAGAAGGTCTTGAAGGATGTGAGCTCTTTGTCAGAGCAGTCATGTACTAAATTTAAATTCCTCTACAACTTCCTCCTTTCTGTTTATGTTAAAAATTGTACACAGTTTAACCTTTACAATAGAAACAGTTATCAGTCCCACAAACTTAACAGTCTGAATGTCCTTATGAAGATCCACTCAGCCATTGATTGGATGATCCCCCATTATTGCAGTCCTGATCATCTGTCTTTCAGCCACAGTCCATTTCAGCATCAAGGTTTCCAGTCTGCCAGTCTGATGAACGGTCTGTCCCTCTTCAGCTGGTTTCTTAAGCTGTGAGGAACTTTCCTGATTGGGTTAATTGAGTTGGGAACTCACCTTGAATATGGCTGGCACCATTTCATGAGGTGGACCTTTCCTAATGCTGAAACCCTTTAATACAGTTCCTCATGTTGTGGTGATCCCCCAACCATAAAATTACCTTGTTTCTACTTCATAAGTGTAATTTTGCTACTGTTATGAGTTGTAATTTAAATGTCTGAAATGCAGGATACCTGATATGTGACTCCTGTGGGGGTCGAGACCCGCAGGTTGAGAAACTCTGTTCTAGACTGAAAAGAGAAGAATACAAGCCCAGGGATGGGAAGTCCTTTTGGTTTTTATCCCTGATGCAAAAGGGAAGCTGAACTGTTCCTGACTGGTCAAGGTCCAACCACAAAATCCAGCTGCTAACGTAAGATGAGAAAAACAAACAAACAAACAAAAAAACCCCCAAAATAAAAAAAAAAACCAAAACCAAAACTTAAGCACACGTTTTTTTCTATGTCACTAAGGAGGAAGTAGGGTCAGGAAATGGTGGCTTAGAGCCAGCCAGAAGCTGAAAAACAACTGTGGTTAGGTAAAGGAGGAAGCAAGGCATACTCTGAAAGAACAGATACTTTTTTTCGCATCTGAAAGGGCAACTGGAAAAGTCACTGAGCCAAACACTGTACCGAATCACAGCTACCTGTCGGCATCTCCCATCTTGCAAGGAGGCCCCTGAGGCTGACAAGGAATCCGCTTCAGATGCAAGGGTAAGCTCACGATTGTTGAGAGGACCAGCATTTGAGGAACATGAACATCTTGGGAGAAAAGGCACCCAGTTACACAGAAGGCCTCCATACCTAAAGAAACGGTTAGTAGAGCAGACAGGCCCGGGTATTCCCACAGCTAAGATTAGATGCAGATTATGGTCCAAAAAAAAAAAAAAATCTAGATGTCTTGGCAATTAAATATGTGATTATTGAAAACCAAAACTTATTCAGTTGAAATGAGGATCAGAGAAGTCACAGCTGAAAATGGTGCAATGGTCTGGAATTGCCTAGATGAAAAATAGACAATAGGACAAAGAGAATGATGCAGAAGTTCAACGCCTGTCCACGAGGAACCGAAAACTGCAAAAGAAGGAAACAGAGATGGAGGAAAAGGGCTGCTCAAGGGAAGATTGGAAAAGCATGACTTATCTGAGACGCTAAAACAGAAGCATTGGTTTGGAAGATCCCAGGCCCTAGTGGATGAAGAAAGCACTTACAAGTTGGAGCTCATGTCTATAATCCTAGGGCTTGAGAGGCTGAGGCAGGAGGATTGCTAGAAATTCGAAGTGAGCCTGGGGTACATGACAGGTACCAGGTCAGTCAGGGCTACTTAGCAAGATATTGCCTTAAAAATACCCAACCTGTTACTTGTCTCCAAGAAATGAATAAGTAAATAAATAAATTAAGGAAGGAAGGGGGAAGAAAGAAGGAGGGAAGGAACCTATACAACACTGTCTAGTTAAGTGAATTTATATCTTGAATGCTGAGACCCAGTCATTTTTCTTCCATCTTCTTCAAGGCGGAGATGCCCAGGGGCTGGAGAGATGGGTCAGCAGTTAGGAACGCTTGCTGCTCTTGCAGAGGTCCTAGGTTTGGTACCCAGCACCCACATAGTGACACTACTGTCACTTGTCAACTGCAACTCCACTTCCAGGGCATCTGATGCCCTCTTCTGACCTTTGTGAGGACCATACATGCACATGGTACATACATGCGGGCAGAACACTAATATATATAAGATCAAATCACACGCATGGCACATATATGCAACAGAACACTAATATACATAAGATAAAGTAACCCTTTAGAAAAAGACTTGGATGTCCGGCTATAATTACTCAGTGGAAGACTGAAAGGATATTTTCTAGATCACGAATTGTTCAGAAGAAAAGAACTACTGTAGTGGAAGTTTTGGGTTTTTTAATCCCAAGTGTGGGATATAGAGCTGCTCTTAGTTTTCCCACAGCCGGTAACAGCCTTGTGCATCTTGCGGAGGAGCGTAGTCTTTGCCAGCTGCAGCTAGTTGAATTCTGAAGACTCTGAGAGGGTATAAATACTGGAGCCCCGGGGAGAGGAGAAGGAGGCTCCGAGGAAGAGAGGCTCTGAACGTTTGAGGAGACTGTCGGAGGAGGAGGCTGCTGCTGCTTTTGCTGTGTGCAGTTGCTGGTTTGCTGAGCTGCCTGACAACCTGACAACTGAGCCTGGGATCGCCCTCAAAGAACCCAAGGAAGTAACTAAAGAGGACTCTGTCCCCGCTTCCCACTAGCCCTCCTTCTTCCTAGCTAGTGTGTGTGTGTGTTATTAGGGATAACTGGTAGAGAAGGGAGGTAGAAGATTAAGGGACCCCAAGTGAAATAGAGTTAAGAAACTAGTGCCAACAATCTGAAAATACTGACATGAAGTCATTCTCAGAGATCACCCAGCCTTGTCCCTTTAAGTCCCTTG